GATTTTGTCTTCAGGAGTTCCGCGGTGGCCCAATTCCAATGTGGGTCAGAAGTTTTCAGACTTTCTTTTTAGATCTGATATCTTGTAAGAATGATTTTGGCCTCAGGAACTTGGGTGTTGGACTGACCTGAGAATCTGGCCATGGCCGTGCCACAGCAGAGATGCAAAGGCAGATGGGGTGGGAATAAGCCCCAAGATTTCCCAGGGAGTGGGTTGAGTAGCTGGGTTGTACTGGATGCAAAGGATCAGGGAGAGGCAAGGTAAGCCTCGGAGCCCCAGAAAGAGGCTGTCAGCCCCAGAAAGAGGCTGGCCCTGGTGTTGCAGGACCAGGGAAGCAGAGAGAGGTGAGGGCACGGCCGGGTTCAGAGGCAGTGCTCCTGGGGCCCAAGGAAGGCACCAAGCCGGTCCCGGTGAAAAGGGTCAGGAAGCAGCACTGGCTCCCCAGGTGTCTGGGGCCCCAAGACTAGGAATGGCACAGGGCCCAAGCTAGGAGTAGGGAACAGCAGGAGAGATGGAAGGGTGAACTCGGCTGGGGGAGTCAAGGCATGGAGGGCTGCGCGATAGACTTACCCCAAGAGAGGCCTGAGGGCAGGAGAGCGGGCCAGGAGAATTAGCCGGTGGTGCAGGTCAGGGGAAGCAGGGAGAGGTGAGGGCGGGGCCAGGTCCCGCGGAAGCAGTGCTCCTGGAGCCCAAGGAAGGCATCAAGCTGGCCTGGGCGAAAAGGATCAGGAAGCAGCACCAGTTCCCCAGGTGTCTGGGGAACCAAGACCAGGAATGGCGCAGGGCCCAAACCAGGAGCAGAGAACAGTGGGGGAGATGGAAGGGAGAATGAGGCTGGGAGAGTCAAGGCACAGGGGGCTCTGCGATGGACCCACCCTGGGAGGCCTGAGGATAGTGGAGCAGGCCAGGAGAGTTAGCCCTGTACATAATTTTTTAAAATCAATAAAATGACAAACAAAAAAGGTACCTAAAACTAAAGATTCTAATAAATATACTAGCACTGAATATTTTATGTAGAAATTGTATTTATAAGAATGTGACCACAAGTCACTCTACCTTTCCCCCTTTCTTTGTTAATGATCTTTTGTCACATTCACTATAGACAGAATCAAAGGGAATATAAAAATTCTGCTATCCCTAAACTGGTCATTTTATTAGGCCAAGTAAAGAATTCTTTATCTTCTCTAACTCTTCTTTTGCTTACAGAAACCCAGCGCATTCCAAGCTAGTGATGTTTGTCCAGACAGAAATGAAAGGAAAACTGCCCTCATCAATAGTTGAAAAGTCTATGCCTTCCAACTTAGTGAGCTTCTTCCTCAATGCAAAAGATGGAGTAATGGCACACAAAATTACATCGATATGTGGACGTCATAATGGTCATTCATCACGACAAAAGAAATAAAGCTGTTCTGCCATTATCATACAGATGTTTGACCACACAGGCTGCTAGTAAGTGTAGTGCAGCTATTACTGCAGCCTACTTCTCAGTGAGTATACATAAATACTGTTCAACTGCTCTAGATGGTAGTCTTATATAAATTATCCAAATAAGAGCTCCATTGTGTCGGGACTCAGGTTTGCTTTGCTTAGTGGAGGACCTACTGGCTTTGGGGCAGAGGGTCTGATTGGCGACAGAGTCATAAACTCTGGGACCTGTGTCTTCCCAACAGGACAATTTATTTTAAAATTCAGATGGTTTTTATACATCCCAAGGAACTAGCAGTCACATGGGATATGGCAGTCACATACAAAGATTTAGGACACAAAGAAACAGGACATTTAGTCTGCTAGTTGGCGCCAGGAGGATTCTTAAACTTTTACTCAAGGTTATCAATGCCCATCCAGTAATTTATTGGCCACAATGTTTTCTTTCTTAAAGCTAAAAGATGGTGAACTTTCAGCTTTTAGCTCAGGAGTAAACCTTTAACCTGGCTTAATCTCTTAGCCAAGGATAGCTGAGTTATTTGTTCAGGACAAGGAGGTGAGCGAAGGATTGTTGACCAAGACGCCTTCCCACAGAGCAGGGAGCCTGCACTTACGACCAGGCTGCTTCCTCCTGCCAGTGTGGGAGTGTTCTGCAGGCCCAAGACAGGGATTATCAGAGCCACTGTTTTCAGTGCCCCTCCCTTTATCAGAGAATGCAGCCTGGACCTATAAGTTTTAGGCTCACCTCACCCTAGGGCCTGGCATCCTGGTTTCCTACACATTGTACAAGAAAACAGCATTAAATATAGTTTTTAATCTCACATAATGATACCAAATAATGTGTTATTAATATACTTTTATTTTTTGTTTCTTTCCCTGGAAAATACTCTGCATTCAAATCATAAGCAAGCAGATACAGTCAGAGATCAGCATTAATTAGAGATTAAAATACGCAGCTGGGCATGATGGCAAACTCTGTAATCCCTGAACCGAAAAGGCTGAAGTAGGACTGTCATGATGAGACAAGCCTGAGCTACCAAGCAAGACCTTGACTCAAAAAAAAAAATTAAAGTACATTTTAAATTATTTTTCCTTCATTTACTGCTTAAATTGACAATTGTGGGAAACTCGAACTTGAAAATTGAAAGAAATTCTACTAGGGAATTCAGGATACAGTTTAGTGGTACAGCAGTTGCCTAGCATTACAAGGGCCATAGAGTCCATCCATAACACAGAAAACAATTCCACTACAGTACATACAATACAAACAGAACAAGGATGTTAACAGAGCCTCCATTCCCACCTCTGTGTCAGCGAGGTAGAACCAAGGAGTGGGACCCAGGCCTAGTCAGCATTCCATTTGTTTGCTTCTTCCAATGATGTCATTAGGGACAATGGGGGAGTGGTGCTTCTTTAAGCTCCCACTGGAAGGTAACATGCATATGTGTATCAATGCCCACTTTCACCAGGAAGGTATCAGCAAGGCCAGAAAGGGAGCCAAACTGACACATACATCTGCAGTGAGGATCAGTCAGTGCTACCTTCTCCAGGGTAGAGATAAACACCACCCAGTTCTTAAATTACAGCTAACAGTGATGCTGCCTGTTTAAAAGAACTATTATAGGATCCAGAGTCCCTCAGAAAGGGAAAAAAGATATCTGTATGGGTAAAAATATACCTATAAGTATATGAAACCATATTTATGTTGACAAAGGATCAAAGACAATTCAGTGGAGCATGGACACCTTTCCAGCAAATGATTTTAGAATACCTGCATATCTCCAGGCCTTGGGCTAGTTCTGTCCCATCCATTATTATGAATTCATAATGGAATTTGAACATAAAAGCAAAACAAAACATTATAGAATACATCATAACCTACAGTTAGGCAGGTTCTTAAACATGACACCACCAGCAGGATTCCTGAAAGGGAAAAGTGATTATCAAAATTAAGTATGCATGCTATGTGGAAGTTCTTGTGAGGAAGATGAAAAGACAAGTCATAAACTGGGATAAAATACTTGTAAAATATTTCTTAAAATGGACTTTTATCTAAAATATGCTAAGAGTCTTCAAAGCCAATAGTATAAAAGCAATCCATTAGAAACTGGCCAACCCTGACAATCTGTGCCCACCAGTGCAATAGTGGCACAAATATTACGGGAGTAGCCAACTACTCTCTAATTGGATTTAAGATCTGCTTCATAGGCTGGAGTTCACACCTGACATTGATATCATGCTTAGGAACCTGAGACTAGACAGGTCACAAGACATAGGGGAGAGTCTAATACTAGTTTTCTACTAAATAGTTATACTAAACTGAATCCTAAGGACTTGATGTTATTCCCATAGATTAATGCATCTCTCAACTCTCACCAGAGTTTTCTTACTCAGCATATGATGATTAACATAGAAACCCACAACTGGCCAATGTGCAGAAAACAAGAGACGGGAGAGTATTTACCCCTGAATAGACACCTATGTCAAACTTCTGCCTCCTAAGGCTCAGGGATCATTGTGGAATATAGGGCAGAAAGATTGTAAGATCCAGAGGAGGCAGAAGACCACAAGGAGACAGAGTTTTCCAAATAGCTGGACAGTTAGCTGGCAGTGTTATGAACTAACAGCAATGGTGGTGGCATGCACAAGTCCCATGCAATCTCAAACCCGAAAAAATTACAGCATAGATATGGGGAAGTGGGTAAGAAACCCCAACCCAACCTAAGGGAATGTTGGTAACCAATGGCTGCTGGGAAGGGGAGAGACAGTTTCTTTCAAGGACGGGACTCTTGGTAAGTTAACCAGATTCTATTGAATGGACCCACAGTGAAGGACATGTGGGAGCACAAATTGCTCTATAGGCCTTATTCTATATATAACAGAGTACATTAAATTGGTCAGGAGGCAATAGGGGAAGGGTGGGTAGGGAACAGGAGCTAAATACCATCAAATTATATAAAAATCACACAAATTCAGTTGAAAAATATTTTTTTAAATAAATGTAGAAAGTAGCCAAAGACAAGGGCATTTGAAAGGATATATAGATAGAAGAACAGCTCATGAAATGTTCACCATTAGTTACATAAATCCAAAAAACATTCAAATTAAGATGTCAATACACTTATCAGAATGACAAAACCTTCCAAAAAAGTGATAGCATCAAGTTTGCCAAGCACATAGAGAAACTGGATCACTCCTACATTGCGAGTAGGAGGGAAATGAAACTGCCACTCTGGAAGGGTGTAGCACTATTTTAACTAAACGTGCTGACTGTTCTCCAGAAATTATACCCATTATCCCATAGACTAGAAAATCCTTTAGCAAGTAAATTAATTGTGGTAATCAGACACATGGAAGAGTGCTAAGCAAAAATAACAAAGTGTTCTTTCTCTTCAATACAAAGAATTCCTTTAAGTATCTTCTGTAGAGCTTGCTTAATGGTCATGAATTCCTTAAACCTATTTTTAATCATGGTAAGTTTTACTTTCTTCAATTATGACTGATAGCTTTGCTGGGTACACTAATCTGGGTTGGCAACTATTGTCTTTCAAAACTTGAAAAACATTATCCCATCCCTTCCTGGTTTCACCACATACATCAAATAAATGGCCTCAAACACAGAGATTAGCTGGTCATGTAGATAGATGCATAAAAGACTTTTGAGAGAAGCCAACATCCCTTCATGATCAACGTTCTGGAGAAATTTGGAACAGATGAAATGTAACTCAACATAATAAAAACTATATATGGCAAACTTACAACCAGAATTTTATTAAATAGGGGGGCATTCAAAGCATTTGCACTAAAATCAAGCACAGAGCAAAATGTCCACTTTTTCCACTCTTATCCAACATTGTGCTATTGTGCTGAATAAGAAATCAAGGAGGGTCTGGGGAGATGGCTCAGCAGTTAAAAGCACTGACTGCTCTTGCAGAAGGGAAAAAACAAAACAAAACAAAACAAAAACACCTTAGAGAAAAACTTTAAAAAAACTCAGAAAAGGAGAAATTGAAGAATGCGTTAGATGGAATGGCCTCTCATGCTCACGGACTGGAAGAATCAATATTGTCAAAATGCTAACTCAACAAAAGCAATCTACAGACTTAATCCAATCTGCATGAAAATGCCAACACCATTCTTCATGACAACATGGAAAAAACATAATTCATTTGGAAGCACAAAAGACCCTAAAAAAAAAAACAAAAAAAAAAACAAAATGAGTAATGCTGGCAGTATCACCATACCTGGTTTCAAATTTTACTACAGAGCCACAAGCAATAAAAATGACACTATATTAGCACAAAAGGACATGTAGGTAAATGGAACAGACTGAAAGACCTAGATTTAAACCATGAAGCTATAGCCGCCTGATTTTTGACAAAAATGCCAAAAATAAAAATTGGGAGAAAGGACAGCCTTTTCAACAAATAGTGCTGGGAAAACTAAATCTTTGTGTAGAAAAATAAAATTAGAACTTTATTGTTCACCTTGCACAAAAATCAAAGATCTCAGTACCTGAGATTCATAAACTGCTGGGATAAAAAGTAGGGAATACATTAAAAGATATAGGCACAGGCAAGAGCTTTCTAATAGGATTCCAGTCACTCAGGAAATAAGGCCAATTACCAACAAGTGGGACTTCGTGAAACTAAAAATCTGTACTAGCAAAAGAAACAGTTAACTGAGTAGAGACAACCTACAGAATGAAGAAAAAGATTTGCCAAGCTATACATCTAACAAGATTAATATCTACAATATACAAAGAACTCAAGAGAGTAACAGCTAGAAAACAAACACAATAAGAATATGGGCTAAAGAGCTGAACAGAGAGCATTCAAAATAAAAAATATAAATATCCAATAAGTATTAAAGTGTTCGAGATCCATAGCCATCAAGGAGGTGTAAATTAAAACTACTTTGAGACTCATTCCATCTCACTCCTGTCAGAATGGGCTAGCCTCAATAAAATAAATATTG